AGGAGAGGCCGGGGGAGGCCGCGGAACCTTCCGGAACTCTGCGGGCCGCGCCGCTACCGCGTCTCCTGCTCCTTCCTTACCTTCTCTTCTCTCAACGATTGAAAACAAAACCAAGGACACCGTAGCAGCCACTGTATACTGAACCCTTAGTTAGTTCAAGCATTGTTCCTAATCTCAGCCTGCTGCCAGCCCCGTGAAGTCGGTGCTGTTATTATCGACCTATATAGGAGGCAGCTGAAGGTTCAGAGAGATGAATCCAACTGCCCAGCGAGCAAGTGGCGGAGCTGAGATTCAAACCCTCCATCATTCCCCTCTCCCACCTACCCCTCTCCCGGCAGAAATGTTTGTGGAACAGTTGACTGGCCCAGGGCCCCGAGGTATGACGGACTCCTGGGGAAACTGGTGTAAGGATGAGCTGAATGCCACTCTGAGACAGGGGCTCGGGATTTTAAACTCCTGTGGTATCCACAGTGTACGTTCAGTCCTCACTTACTCATCCAGTGAATGACCGCCCGTGAGAACTAATGGATGGAAGCATCTAGCCTGAGCCTAGCGCAGAGTGGGGTTCAGTAAATCAGTGCTCTCAGAAGGATGGGTGGGCCTGGGGTTTTGAGGGAACCTGGGTGAACCCAGAAGTCAGGACACTTGGTTTGGTTCTTGCTCTGCAGGGGACTGGGTTTTAAATCACTTGGGGGGGGGGGGTTGACATCTGCTGCTTCAGCTGCTGAATAGAGGTGGGATCAAACTGGGGCTTGACACTCAGTTCTTTCTACATGAGTTTTTAACTCATTAACTGATTCTGAAGAGCTGAATTGTTTTGAGGACTGTCTCTTACTACTTAACAAACACCAGGCAGCTTGAAGTTCTCAGGAGGAAGGACTTTTTTAAAACACAGAATAGGCACTTGTTCAGAAGCATGGCTGCCCAGTTCTGATTGATGGATGAGAGTGATTCAAAGTGAATGTTGAGGGAGAGGGTATAGCTCAGTGGTAGAGTGCGTGCTTAGCATTCACGAGGTCCTGGGTTCAATCCCCAGCACCTCCATTAAGTAAATAAATAAACCTAATCCCCCTGCCTCCAAAAATTAATGCTGGTTATCTCCAAGGTCCTTTGGTGACCTAGTATGAAACTCACAGTAAGCGTTCCTCCTGACTCTACTTAGCCCTCAGCCATTGATTTAGGGAATTGGATGTAACAACTACCCTATGTCATCAAGTGGAAAGCTTTGTGAGCTGGGAGTTAGCAGGTGGGGCTCTTTTCACAGCTCCAGCTTGAACTCGCTCTGTGACTTGAGCAAGCGCTTTTTCTCTGGGCTCCTTCATTTCCTTAGCCTGTCAGGTGACTCTGATTAACTCTGCCCTTCGCCCTTCCCATCGCGCACGTGAGAGCACTTTGTAACGCTGACAGCTTGGCACTCACAAGAGATGCTTCTCTTTATCTTCCTTAGTTGCCTTTGCAGCCCTCGGGGGCCCACTTTGAAGGGAGTCTAGACTTTGATGAGAGAGCCTGTGCTTCCTTAGTGCGTACCTTTTGGACTGCTTTGCAGCCATCCTCTTCCAGTGTCCACCTTTCTGAAAAGTCAAGTCATTTCTACCTGCAGGGCTTGTGCTGGGAAAAGATGAAATGGGGGAAATGGTAAGAAATTAGTTCCAATCTGAAACCTCCTTTTCAGTCCCTTTTCTGTCCCAAGAGTTTTGAGAGAATAGTGGCTGAGCAAAGTAAAACTGTCCTTTTTTGTTCAATTATTTATTCAGCAGATAGTCACTGAGTTCCTTATGGTTGCAAAGCACTGTGCTGGGTGATTTGAAAGGATTCAGCACTCCAGGGAGCTCATCTTCTGGTTGGGAGCAGAAACAGCTTAAAGTGTTATAGATATTCGGTGTTGAAGATATTCAGAGGAGTTCAGCCAGCTGGGGAATCTGGGAATCTTCAAGAAGGCGAGGGGCAGTGGGGAGGAGGTGGTGTGGCATAATTTGAGCTGGACCTCAAAGAAGGCGTAGGAAGGTGATGACCGTGGCAGCTGTGTTCCAGCCCTACAAACTGGGATCTGTCACCGGTAGTGGACTGGGAAGCAGCCTCAGGAGAAAGTTGAATCAATTCTCAGAGTCTTAGGTATTAACCCTGTTATGCAAACAACTGCCTGGAACATCAGAGGCCCTGTCATCTAATAGGAGGACCCCAGCCGTAGCTCCCCCAGGGTCCCTTTCACCCTCAGAGGTAGCCAGGACTGCTCGCCATCCCCCACTCTTTGCTCATCTTATTCTCTCTGCTTGGACTGTATGTTTTTTCTCTGTGCCATCAGGCAATTCCTCATCATTTGAGCCCCCGTTCATGTCCACCACCACCAGCCCCTGAGGCTGCTGTAGCACATGTAAACTATCGTTAATGTATTAATCTTGCCATGTTAGGGTTGCTTACATGCAAGCTTCTCAGGGGTGAGATGGACCTCTTACTCCTGACTGTATCTCTAGTCCCCTGGCACATGCTTGGCAAAACGACGGCTTCTTAGAGCGAACGTTTACTGGATGAATGAATGAATGAACAGTTGTGGGCAAGAACTTTAGAAATCATCGGTGGATTTAATGAGATGATTGCACTCTCACTGCCATCAGTTCATTTACCAATGATATGTTTGGTTCTAGGTGTCAGTAATTAACACTGTGGATACTTCACATGAGGACATGATTGTAAGTATTCCTTTAACCCTTCCTTGTGGGCTGGGAACAGGGCATGTCTGTTGACCATTCATAAATCCAGTGAGGCTTTGCAGCCTTTACCAGTCAGGCTGTAGCCTCAGGGATATGGTCAGTCTCCCAGCAATACCCTCTGAGTTGGCAGGGCTGGGGCAGTCTGGTCACTCTCTGGCAGGAGAAACCTGGTAACAGTTTGTAGCTCAAGGCCCTCAGTCTTCTGGCCAAAAAGGTAACCTGCTATGGAATGGGATGGGAGTGGGTGCAGAGGTTTGAAATAGTCTTCCAGTCTGTCTTCCTCTTGCTGCCACTTCTTAGCCCCATTGGGAAGGGGGTTTAAAGAAGAAAAAAGTAGGAAGATGACTCAATACAAAGGCAGAGCCAGGTAGGACCACCACAGACAGCAGGCCAGACAAGGCTCTTAGAACCAGAAGTCATTAACTCAGGGTGTTTCTTGAGAGGCAAACACAGGGCTTAGTATAAGAGGACAGGGCTTGGGAGAAGGTCCAGAGGTTAAAGTCTCCAGCAGCAAAGATGCAGAATCTGCCTCCTGCAGGGCCAGGGGTCCAGCAGCCTTTGAACAAGACCCAGGTCAGTCAGCCTGCAGCATTTCATCCCAGGCGTCCTGCCGTCAGTCTGCCCACCAGCGGTTGCTTCTGGGCTTCTGAGCGGTTGCCTGGTCTTGAAACTGTAAGAACACACCTTCTTGGAGACAGCCTGGCACCTTGTGTAAGAAGATCCAATCTGGGACCCCCATCTAAGTTGCCTGTGCCAGCCTTGATTCCTCATAGCTAAAATGGGAAAGATCATGGATATGCCACCTATCTGGGTTCATCTTGAGGAACAGATGAGACAAAGTAGTAATGACTAACGTCTGCGTGCTCACTGAGCATCACACCCCACGCTAAACACTGTTCATTCCGTGTCTCACTTAACCTTCATAACAACCCTTGAAGCAGGCACCATCATTCGTTCCATTTAAAGATAAGGAAACTAAGGTTCAGGGGGGTTGGGAAATTTTTCCAAGGTTGCACAGCAGATAGCTTAAGGAGATAGGACTTAAATCTCTTAGGTTCTATGCCCTGCTTCCTCCCGAAGTGTGTGATCACACTGTGCAGGAACAGTGCTTCAGAAATAGACTTGCAGCCAAGATATGTCTTAACACGTGCCCTGCCTGCCTCCAAGAAGCCAAGACCTGGAAGAGTGGAGGGGATTGACTTCCCAAGAGGAATCAGGGTGCTTTCCTCGGTAGGGAGGTGAGGAAGGGATGTTGAAACAGGTAATGATTGTTTCCCTGTGAAAGGAGGTAATTCCTCCTGATGGCAGCAAGAGTGACAGCTGATAGCTCTTGAAACCCCCAGGGTGCGACAGCTGAGGAAAGTGGCACCTGTTGAAATAGACAGGGCCAGCAAGCAGGAGGGGCTAGTAAGTTCAGTGAGGCAGCAGGCAGAGTGGCTCAGAGGAGCCATCGCCCCGATAGGTGGAGCTGTGGGCAGGGCCCAGCCCTGGGTCTGGGTGGCCAGGCAGCACTGATGAAGTCAATTCATCGGTGATGAGACCAGCGACACTTAAGGCATGGGCGGAGAATCTGGGGTACTGGCACACAAAGGAAAAGGTCAAGTAGAAACCTGGGAACCAAGGCCCAAAAGCGTCCACGGCTGTGGGTGGAGGAAGGAGCCCAAATGTCTGGATGGAGCCCTGTGTCCAGGCCAGATGTGCACCATGGGGGCCCTGACTGGGGCCTACAGGCAGTCAGACCTGCTTCTCGGGGTGAATGTTCTTGGGGTCAGCATTAGCACTGGGTTCTGGGTGCTGAGCTAACATCCCTAGTAGCCCACGGAGCCTCAGAACCCAGTGCGGCCTGAGGAAGGAGGAAGAAGAGGGAAGCTAGGCAAGCTGCTTTTCTCCCATTCCCACCCTATAGGACAGGATTGGAAGGCCTTCCCCTGTGATGTAAAGCAAAGCAGCTGGGTGTGGTTTTTCTTGTCCCTTTCAGAAAGACATGGCCTGTCAGAGAAGTGACAATGTTGATATGCTAGCTTCCTGCCTGGTAGTGATGATTCTTTGAGAGTCAACTAATTTCAGGTAGATTCTGGTCCAAACTAGACTCTGTCCTGGTGCCTGCCCCACTCCAACCCCACCCTGGGCTCAGCCTGCAGGCTTCCCGAGCTCCCTCTCTTTGCAGCATGATGCCCAGATGGACTACTACGGCACCCGCCTGGCAACCTGCTCGTCCGACAGGTCCGTGAAAATCTTTGACGTGCGCAATGGAGGCCAGATCCTCATCGCCGACCTCAGAGGGTGAGTGCAGCCAACCCTGGGCAAGGTCTCAGAGAGTTTGGGCTTGAACACGGCAGAAAAGGCTGAGAGCCCAGATCAGAGCAGCCCACAGTGCGGTTAGCAGAGCGGACACCTGGCCCCAGCCAGCCAGCTGCCCTCAGCAGGCGTCCGAGGCTGGTGGAGTTGGGAGCGCATCCCAGCCTTCCCGCCCAGATGCCACTGAAAGCCCTTGGGCGGGAGAGTCACTTTCCCTTTGGAGCCTTCACCCGCTCACCCTCAAAACAGGCTGATGCTGTCCCCTGCCCCCAGGTAGAGCCCATTCCCAGCAAGCTCTCAGTAGTTACTGCTATTTTTAAAAGTGGGGAACTGCCTTTTTTTATTTTAACAAATTGAGCCCGCATGATCTAAAGTGACTCAAGCATGGTAATGTCAGCATGTGACAGTAACTGTATAAATCCCATAATTCTGCCTGTCTGCCCATGGCAGGTACTCGGTGAACATTTGTGGCTGTTTGATTTACCTTTCCCCCTGCTGAGTTTCTTGAGGTCCTTGCTCTCAATTTTAGGGCGTCACACTAACTCTTTCCCTCAGTTCATTACCTCAAACAGGTAGGGGTTCTTAACCTGGGTCCCAGGGATCTCCTAGGGTTCTGTGGGTAGAATTCAGGGGGCGGTGAATAGGGAAAGGGGAAAAATGAGGGCTTTATTTTCAGTGACTGATACTTAGTATTTCCTTCAATTACGGGTAAAGGCCAGGAGCCGCAGTAGTAGTCGTAGTGCCAGTCACTTTGTTTCCAGTAGAAGTCATAGCTCTTTTTATGTCACATGACAGTTGTCGCTTTCTCAGAACAGCATTTATGCTCATCACTGCTTTGAAATTAGAATGGTTATTAGACTTACCACTGGAGTTTGTTACTTATATGTTAACAAAGAAGCAGATGTATCACTATATCATAAATTATCTTTAATGTTTTGATAACTGTCTTTCAGTGGAGTTGAGTTTCCTTTGTAATCCTAGCTCTATGGATTTTACCCATTATTCTGAGAAGGGACCATAACCGTCACCAGACTGCACAGGAGAGATTGTGAGTCCCTGACAAGTTCGCACTTGGTACATGTTTGTCAGCTGAATTAAAGAAGACACAGCCAAGTCAGTAGCCATTTGGGAAGACAGGCCTAGAAATTCCCCTCTCCCTGAGTGTCAGGAGTCGAGTGACTGGGAGTCAAATGCCACAGGGTAAGGCCGGCCGCCAGCACTGGCGGAGGCCGTCCTGTCTCTGTCACTCGATCCTTTTGCTCTGTGTTTTTCTTCTGCCTAAAGGACATAAAATATTAGGGGGTAAAAATTCACACACTCATTCTTTTTTCCCTCGGTTAAAACTATACTAGTTGTAGGACATTTGAGTCTACCGAGTTTCATTAGCAGCTCCTTTGTAGAGATGGAGACGGGCTGTTGTCCCAGCCGGAGGCTGTCTGGAGCCCCGGGGTAAGGGAGTGAGCCAGGAGCAGCACTCAGAGCCCACAGGCATTGAGCATTGAGTTTTTCCCTTTTCTTGTACCAAGCACTGCTCTGAGCTCTTTGTGTGAGTTATCACAGACATTTCCCTCGTGACCTGCGTAAAAAGAAGTAAGAGACAAAGCCAAAGAGAGGCTGTGACCCTGGCCTAAAGTCAGGCAGCTAGGGGATGGTCACTTCTGTGCCACCTCTTGTGTGCCAGTGCCCCCTGCCGCACCCGGCAGCCGCAGGACAGCCCCAGTACAGAGCCCGGCGCAAAGTACTGCTCACACAGTACTCACCAGGTGAATGTATAAAGCCGGGAAGAGAAGAGAGAGGCATGAAATGCCTTTTGAAGAAGTTAAGAGAGTGGTGGAAAGTATCAAAATGAAACAGTTCCTGCCTCCACAAGAGGCTGACCACCTGGGAAGATGAATAGTGATTCACTCTGCAGACACAGCGTGAGCCCTTGCGGGTGTAAACCCTGGACCGATCAGGGACTGCTGATGACAGCAGATGTAAGTGGTGCTGGCCGAAGTCTGGAGCAGGGAAGGGTTCCGCCCGGTCGGAACAGAGGGGCTGACTCGCTTCAGCCTCAGGGTCCTCACTGCCCAGTGAGGGCCCCTTTTGGAGTGACATTCTACAGCTCCCTTTCTGAAATTCTTAGGCAGTTCTGTCTTGAGAAGCCATTCACTTCTGACCCTCTCGCCTTGCAGTCATGAGGGTCCTGTGTGGCAGGTGGCCTGGGCCCACCCCATGTACGGCAACATCCTGGCATCCTGCTCCTACGACCGGAAGGTCATTATCTGGAAAGAGGAAAATGGCACCTGGGAGAAGACGCACGAGCACACGGGACACGACTCCTCAGGTACACTGAGCGTGGCACGCTGGGGAGGCCTCTGTCCTGGCTAGCGCCTGGCCGTCCCCGGGGGTGCTCCTCGCCTGTCCCTTGGGCTTTGGTTGCTTTTCTGCTAGTCTGTCCACGGTGGAGGTGAGGCCCTGAGACCTACAGCCAATCCAAAGGAAAATGAGAAAAGCAAAGGCAACACAGTGAGGTTTTTTTTTTTTAAGTTTCATTTTAAGTACTGATCTTTATTCTCAGATTATAAGATAGGCTTTAGTGAATGAACTGATGATATTAGTAGGTGTTAGGTTTTTAAAATCTGCTTAATTAACAAAATTACAACTTCCTCAAGGGATCCCTGAAATTTTTTTTTTCTAAGAAATTTCGTAAAACAGTAAGTCTGGGAAATGAAAGTCGGCTCACTGTGCCTCTCTCCCCTTGCAGTAAACTCTGTGTGCTGGGCCCCCCATGACTACGGCCTGATCCTGGCCTGTGGGAGCTCGGATGGCGCCATCTCCCTGCTCACCTACACCGGGCTGGGCCAGTGGGAAGTGAAGAAGATCAACAATGCTCACACTGTAAGTCCAGGCCCCACCCTTGTGCAGAGGGGAGTTCTGTGGCCTTGCCAGGTGTCCCCTCTGGACTCCTTAGAGAGTGGCAGGAGCTGTGTTGCTGCTGTGTGGTGAGCCATTAGAGGGGGCTACTGGTCTGACATGCTTGGGAGAGCAGCTTTGAGCCTCTTTGCTCTGAAGCCAGACAGAGGCTGCATCCAGGGAGGCCAGGCTGCACCAGCCTCATTCGGCCCAGGGTAGGTTGGCACTGGTCCCTCCATGTCAGGGAAGGCCAGCGCACTGGCAGGGTGGTGGCAGCAGCCTGCCTACTTATCACTCTTGCTATGGGCACCTCAAGTTGACATGACCTGCAGTGGTCATTGGGGTCCCCTGGAACTGAGTGGTATTATAACAGCATCATAGGAATTTAATTCTCTGTACTTCTTGTCATTGGACATTAAGGTTGAAACAGTCAAGAAAGCACTTTGTGGATGTGGGAGGATTGTTCAGTGGTAGCATGCATGAGGTCCTGGGTTCAGTCCCCAGTACCTTCATTAAAAAGAAAGAACAGAAGAAAGAGGAAGGAAGGAAGGAAGGAAAGAAAAGGAAAAGGAAAGCAAAGAAAAAAGAAAGCACTGTGGACAGTGGGGGGGAAACTCACATTTCTGAGCCTCTCTGTTGTGTGTCACATTTGTGAATGAAAGAAGGAACTGACAGATGTACAGATTTGCAGGGTCAGCAGTCCTGTTCTCATTTTATGATTAGGCAGGTGAGGCTCAGAAAAAGTAAGTGATTTAGAGAGGGCACTGTGCTGGGGTTAGGACCCTGGAATCCATGTGCCTTCTGTCTACACAGCAGTCCAGCTCTGATGGCCCCAACACTTTTGAAGGCTACCCTGATAGAAATTAGGAGCCCCCCGTATGACACTGACCTTCAGCAGTTCTCAACTTCGGGGGACCCACAGCCTGCCCAGCCTTCAAGGCCCCAGGAGCCTGTCTTAGGGTCTGGTTACTTGGGACCCTGTGACGCTCTTGCCGTGTTGTGGCTATTGTATGTAGTGCTGCTGTGAACATGGGGGTGCAGGTGTCTTTGAATTAAGGTTCCCTCCGGATATATGCCCAGGAGTGGGATTGTTGGGTCATATGATAAATCTGTTTTTAGTCTTTTGAGGAAATCTCCATACTGTTTTCCATAACGGCTGCACCAAAACTACGTTCCCATCAATAGTGTAGGAGGGTTCCCTTTTCTCCACAGCCTCTCCAGCATTTATTGTTCATAGACTTTTGCATGATGGCGATTTTGACTGATTTGAGGTGATACCTCATTGTAGTTTTGATTTGCATTTCTCTGATAATTAGTGATACGGAGCATTTTTTCATGTGCCTATTGGCCATTTGTATGTCTTCATTGGAGAATTGCTAGTTTAGGTCTTCTGCCCATTTTTGGATTGGATTTAGGTTTTTTTGTTGTTGTTAAGTTGCATGAGTTGTTTAAATATTCTGGAAATTAAGCCCCTGTCAGTCTCATCTTTTGCAAATACTTTCTCCCATTCCATAGGTTGTTGTTTTATTTTGCTTATGGTTTCCTTTGCTGTGCCAAAGCTTAAAAGTTTAATTATGTACCATTTGTTTTTTTTTTGCTTTTATTTCTATTGCCTGGGTAGACTGCTCTAAGAGAACATTGCTAAGATTTATGTCACAGAATATTTTGCCTATGTTTTCTTCTAAGAGGTTGGTTGGTTGGTTTTAATTGAAGTGTACTTGATAATGTGTGTAATTGATAATGTGTCAATTTCTGGTGTACAGCACAATGTTCAGTCATGCATTTACATACATATATTCATTTTCATTTTTTTCATTAAAGGTTATTATAAGATATGGAATATAGTTCCCTGTGCTATACAGAAGAAATTTTTTAACCTATTTTTATATATAGTGACTAACATTTGTAAATCTCAAACTCCCAAATTTATCCCTTTCCACCCCCTTTCCCCAGTAACCATAAGATTGTTTACTATGCCTGTGGTCTGTTTTGTAGATGAGTTCGTAGTATCCTTTTTCTTTTTCTTTTTTTAGATTCCACATATGAGTGATATCATGACATTTCTCTCTTTTTGGCTTACTTCACTTAGAATGACAATCTCTAGGTCCATCCATGTTGCTGCAAATGGCATTATTTTATTCTTTTTATGGCTGAGTGGTATTCCATTGTATAAATATACCACAACTTCTTTGTCCAGTCATCTGTTGATGGACATTTAGGTTGCTTCCATATCTTGGTTATTGTAAATAGTTTTGCATGATGGCCATTCTGACTGGTTTTGATTCGCATTTCTCTGATAATTAGCAATACTGAGCATTTTTTCAGGTGCCTATTGGCCATTTGTATGTCTTCACTGGAGAATTGCTTGTTTAGGTCTTCTGCCCATTTTTGGATTGGGTTATTTGTTTTTTTGTTATTAAGTTGTATGAGCTGTTTATATATTCTGGAAATTAAGCCTTTGTCAGTCCCATCATTTTCAAGTATTTTCTCCCATTCCGTAGGTTGTCATTTTATTTTGCTTATGGTTTCCTTTGCTATGCAAAAGCTTATGAGTTTAGTTAGGTCCCATTTGTTTATTTTTGCTTTTATTTCTATGGCCTGAGTAGACTACCCTTGGAGAACATTGCTAAGATTTATGTCACAGAATCTTTTGCTCACATTTTATTCTAGGAGATTTATCGTGTCTTGTCTTATATTTAAATCTTTAAGTCATTTTGAGTTTATTTTTGTCTATGGTGTGACGGAGTATTCTAACTTCATTGATTTACCTGCAGCTGTCCAGTTTTCCCAACACTACTTGCTGAAAAGACTGTCTTTTCTCCATTGTATAGTCTCACCTCCTTTGTCAAAGATTAACTGACTATAGGTCTGTGGATTTATTTCTCAGTTCTCTATTCTATTCCATTGATCCATATGTCTGTTTTTATGCCAATACCGTGCTGTTTTGATTACTGTAGCTCTGTATTATTGTCTGAAGTCTGGGAGAGTTATTCCTTCAGTTTCATTCTTTTTCATTGGTATTGCTTTGGTAGTTCTGGGTCTTTTGTGATTCCATATAAATTTTAGTAGTTATTTGTCCTGGTTCTGTGAAAAATGTTATGGATAATTTGATAGGCATTGCATTAAATCTGTAGATTGCCTTGGGAATTATGGCCATTTTAACAGTATTGACCCTTCCAATCTAAGAGCATGTGATATCTTTCCATTTCTTTAAGCCATCTTTAATTTCCTTAATCAGTGTTTTGTACTTCTCCACATAAAAGTCTTTTATCTCCTTGGTCAGATTTATTCCTGAGTATTCTTTTTTTTTGGATGCAATTGTAAAAGGGATTGTTTCTTTACACTTCTTTTCTGATTTCATTGTTAGTGTAAAGAAATACAACTGATTTCTGTATGTTAATCCTGTATCCTGCTACCTTGCCGAATTCTTTCATCAGCTCTAGTAGTTTTTGTGTGGAGCCTTTAGGGTTTTCTATATATAGTATGTCATCCACATATAGTGAGAATTTTACCTCTTTCAATTTGGGTCCTTTTTATTTCTTTTTCTTGTCTAATTGCTATGGCTAGGACTTCCAATACTATGTTGAATAGAAGTGGACATCCTTGTTCCAGATTTTAGTGAGAAGGCTTTCAATTTTTCACCATTGAGTATTAGGCTGGCTGTAGGTTTGTCATAAATAGCTTTTATTATGTTGAAATATGTTCCCTGTGTACCTACTTTAGTTAGAGTTTTTATCATAAATGGGTGTTGAATTTTATCAGATGGTTTTTCTACATCTATTGGGATGATTATGTGATTTTTGTCCTTTCTCCTGTTGATGTAGTGTGTCACGTTGATTGATTTGCGTATGCTGAACCATCCTTGTGTCCCTGGAATGAACCCAACATGATCATGGTGTGTGATCTTTTTTACGTGTTGTTGGATTCTGTTTGCTAATATTTTGTTGAGGATGTTTGCATCTATGTTCATCAATGATATAGGCCTGTAGCTTTCTTTTTTGGTAGTGTCTTTGTCTGGCTTTGGTATCAGTCATGGTGGCTTCATAGAATGAGTTTGGGAGTACTCCCTCCTCTTCAGTCTTTTGGAAGAGTTTGAGAAGGATCAGTATGAGCTCTTATTTATATGTTTGATAGAATTCCCCAGTGAAGCCATGTGGCCCTGGATGTTTGTTTGCAGGGAGGTTTTTTTTTATTGCTGATTCTATTTCATTTCTAGTGATTGATCTGTTCAAATGATCTGTTTCTTCTTGATTCAGTTTTGGTGGACTGTATGTTTCTAGAAGCTTGTCCATTTCTAAGTTGTCCAGTTTATTGCCATATAGTTCTTCATAGTATTCTCTTACGTTTTTTGTATTTCTGTGGTATTGGTTGTAATTTCTCCATTTTCATTTCTTAATTTGTGTATTTGTGTCCTCTCTCTTTTCTTCTTGGTGAACCAGAGGTTTGTCAATTTTGTTTACTCTTTCAAAAAAACAGCACTTAATTGATTTTTTTCCTATTGTTTTTTAAATCTCTATTGTATTTATTTCCCCCTTGATTGTTATTATTTCTTTCCTTCTTCTGACTTTAGGTGTTTGGTTTTTTTTTTTTCTTTCAGCACTTTGAGATATGTTTGTATCTTGATTGCAGTGATGGTTGTACAGGGTATACCTATGTCAAAGTTCATCAAATTGTGCACTTTATGTGCTGTTAAGTCAATTCGATCTCAAAGCTGTGTTTAACATCTGGAGTATAAGGAATGCAAACTGTTACCAGTATGCAAGAACTCAAGGACTGTTGTTTCCATAAGCCTTTCCCGAGGAATCTACTAGAGAATATGCTTTAGACAACAAAAATGACTCGAAAGACATCCATATAAATATACAGTTAATTATAAAGAACTAAGATTGAATGAGGTCCTGGCCATGTGCTTGGCTAAAGTACAACTGTTAAAAACGGTGTGCAGCACAAGCAGCTGAAGAACTAGACTTTTTAGTGTTGGTACCATTCACACAAAAACACCCCCCAAAACAAACAAACACTGTGGGGGAGGGTGGGGGGAGCATTGAAAACACTTTTTTTTAATGTTTTTAGTAATCATATTGATGTTATTCTGAGGCTGTTCTATGTGTAAAATGAGATTAAATATTTATGTAGCAGTGAGCATCCCTAGCACCAGAAAGGCATGTGAAATACAGTGTCTCAATAAAAGAAACCAGAGATCTTGAGGAAATGGCTGATTCCCTATCTCAGGCAAGAAAGGTACAAGATGAGCCTGGAACATCTTGTCATTCCAGATCCAGATAGAGAAGAAACGACCGGTGACACACTTGGACATACTCGTCAAAGGAGCCAGTTTGAACAGGCTCGTGCTGCCAAAGATGTGCAGCTTGAGTGTAAAACATTAGAATAATTGCAATGAACTGAACCCAACACATAGCTTAAATCCATGAATTTATCCTGATATTTAAAAGAGAATCAGTCATGTTTGGAAAATGACAGGGAACTAGTTCAGAAAGAGTCAAGCATTTACCCTGCCTTTTCTATCAGATCTGTACCCCTGGGAAACCAAATGCTAATGAGTGGAATTGCCCCTACCTAGAATATTCCATGGAATAAGTGACAAAGAAATAAACAGAATGACAGTATCACCATTTTGTAATGCCCCATGAATTAAGAGATGCATAAATTAAGGACAGGCACTAATAACATAGAAAGACAGTCTGACATCCTGTGCCTCCTGGTGAAGGCATACAAGACCACTGTAGTCTTGGCAAAAGGAACACCCCTCGATCTGAGCCAGTTTTAGACCCAGCTAACAGTTTTCAGGAATTTAGAGGAACATGTTGAACTGAGTATGCAAAAACAAAAGCCAGCCTGAGATGACCTTCAACAGGAAAATGACAAGCTAAAAAAAGATCACAGGAGAAATCTGTAAGTTAGAAGATGCAAGAGGCATCCAAAAAATGTTAACACTGCTCACAATAGCTATCATCAAAAAGTGTACAAATAAATACTGGAGAGGGTGTGGGGAAAAGGGAACTGTCCTGAACTGTTGGTGGGAATGTAGAATGGTGCAGCCACTATGGAAAACAGTATGGAGGTTCCTTAAAAAACTAAAAAATAAAGCTACCATATGATCCAGCAATCCCACTCCTGGGCATGTCAGAAAAAGACAAAAACTAATCTGAAAAGATAAATGTATCCTAGTGTTCATAGCAGCATTATTTATAGTCGCCAAGACATGAAAACAACCTAAGTGTCCATCATGTGTGTGTGTATATGTATATACATATACAATGGAATATTACTCAGCCATGAAAAAGAAAAATACTGCCATTTGCAGCAATATGGATAGGCCTAGACTCACTAAGTGAAATAAGTCAGAAAGACAAATATTATATTGATGTCACTTACATGTGGAATCTAAAAAATACAAATTTACCTATATACAAAACAGAAACAGATTTACAGACATAGAAAGCAAACTTATAGCTACCAAGGGGAAAGGGAGGGGAGGGAGTGAGTATGGGATTAACAGGTACACACTACTATATATAAAATAAATAAACAAGGATTTACTGTATAGCAGGGAACTCTATTCAGTATCTTGTAATAATCTATAATGGAAAGAATCTGAAAAAGAACATATAGATATATAACTGAATCACTTTGCTGTACACTTGAGACTAATGAAATATTGTAAATCAACTGTAGTTCAATAAAAAAGAGAATATTGCACTTTTTAAAAATATTTAAATGGCTGGACTAAACTAGTGGCTAGGGATACACATTTGGGTGACAAAGCTAAAAGAGATTAGAAATCAGAATAATGGGTACTTACAGGGGAAGAGAGGGGCTGTGATTCAGGTAGGACACAGATGACAGGGCTTCTTGGGTAAATGGTAGTTTCATTTCTTGACCTGGTAGTGATTATAAGAATGCTTTAGAATAATTCATTAAGCCATATATTTATTTACTTTGTGTGGTTTTCTGAATCTGCCTTGTCTTCATATGTTTGGAAATTGTTCTGTTTCATAAATTCCTGAGACTCCTTAATTCCTGCTCTAAATGCGTGTTTCTGAAAAAATACAAGCACTGTTAAGAATCCTTGAAAGAGAGTTATGGGTGGCTAATCCTTAATTTATCAGAACATCTGTAATAATCCAGTTCTGAGAACTGGAGAGGAAATGAAAACCAGCCTTGGGTCTGCAGAGGCAGGGTCCTTTTGCCAGGCAAAAAGACAGAGTCACCGCAAGTCTCCCTCCTTACAGATTGGCTGCAATGCTGTCAGCTGGGCCCCTGCCGTCGTTCCTGGAAGCCTCATAGACCAGCCATCCGGGCAGAAGCCCAACTACATCAAGAAGTTTGCCTCAGGCGGCTGTGACAACCTCATCAAACTGTGGAAGTGAGTGGGGCTGGCGAGCGTCTCCTCAAGGGGACGCTTCTCACCTTCCACCATACCTACCAGGACTCAGCCTCAGTTCACCAGAAAGAGTCACCGTCTTTCCCGTCTGCCCATAGAGTCAGTCTGTCAGAGGACATCCTTAAAAAAATCTTGCCCTTCTCTCAGGCACTTTTACTCCACCTGATTCCCAGCTACTGGAGCCTACTTGCTGGCTGTGGAGGAACAGAGCATTTCCTGGAGGGCTTCTTTATAGCTGGTGAACTGATTAAAACGCTGTAGGCTCAACAAATGGAATAGCTTCTCGGCCCCGTGGAACTGCGGGGTGGGGAGGAGTGGAGGTGTGGGAGTGGGCTGCTGCCTGCTGGGTTCTCCCTCCCATCTCCCCTGTTAGGGAGGAGGAGGACGGCCAGTGGAAGGAAGAGCAGAAGTTGGAAGCACACAGTGACTGGGTTCGAGACGTGGCCTGGGCCCCCTCCATCGGCCTGCCTACCAGCACCATCGCCAGCTGCTCCCAGGTCAGCTCAAGCCCGTGCAAGCGTCCGTGTCAGTTAACCTCAGGAAGCCCCATCAGCCCTACAGTCTCCTAGGGGAAGTCCCTGAGGGGTGAGGGCAGGAGACGGCCCCTTTAGACCAGGGCCAGTAGGAGAGCGCCTGGAGCCTGGTCATCATGTGGTGGAGTCTTGGTCAGAAGCCACAGTGGCTTTCTTCTAAGCCAAGAGCAGGACCAAATTCAGGACTAGTTCCCCGTCCTGATCCTTTCATGGGTAGGGAATGGAGAGGCCCAGTTTCATTCTGAGAGTGTTCCCAAGCAAGGACCAGGAGCAGTGGCAGATCCTAAGACCCTGGGCTCATCTCCCTACTCACTCTTCCCAGACTGCGGACAAGCCTTTATTACATGCTGCTACCACGCAGGGTGAGAGTTAAGCCAGGCCTTCTACGTCATTTGAGATTTGAGCCTGTTCTGCTTAGTCCTGAATTTGAGAGGGTTTTTTTGTTGTTTTGTTGTGCTTTGTCCCTTCTCTTTCTCTGAGCATGGTTTTTATTTATTTTTTTGAGCCTGGTTTTTAGACAGCTATACCCATTCAGTTAAGAAAGTACAGAAGGAGCCAGAGGGAGCCAAAACCAGGAAGCAACTTGGCAGATGTGATGAAAACCCCAGAGAAAATTTGAGAATTAGCAATTAGCAGTGCACAGGCCATATCTGAAACCAGTATGAGGACAGGAACCTGAGAGACACCTGAGCAATTTGAAGTGTGTTCCTGGAGCAGACGGATAAAAACACAGGTGCCAGGCTACAAGTTGGTTGTCAAAGCTACAGACACCCTGGAGGCCCTTGGCTGTGCTTTGCCCTGAATCTCCCACCCCGTTCTGGCGCAGGTCCAGTATGGCTCCAGATGGGGAGGCTGTCATACGTGCAGGATTGCTCCCCCCATCTCCTGACTCTAGCCTGTCTTTTCCCAGGATGGTCGAGTGTTCATTTGGACCTGTGACGATGCCTCGGGCAATACATGGTCCCCCAAACTGCTGCACAAGTTCAATGATGTTGTATGGCACGTGAGCTGGTCCATCACAGCCAACATCCTGGCCGTCTCAGGCGGAGACAATAAGGTACCTACACCGTATTTTCATGACCTGTCACGCAGGGCCCTATTTGTCTTCACTTTGCCCACCAGAGAGCGCTGTTGAACCTGCCATCTGATGGCAGCTTGGGAGGAACCTGAATGAAGAGTGTTTTGAGTATGTCTCTTTTCATCTTTAACTCTTAACATTGCCAGCCCTGAGGGGTGGTGTCCCCCTGGTACAGATGGGAGAGAGGCTCACAGAGGCAATTTGACTTGCATACGGGTCACAAAGCTGTTTGGTGGCAGAGCCAACAATCAGGCCCGAGGTAAATCGAAAGCCTCTGCCCATCATCCTGACCATTTGACAAGCTCATATCCAAGGTAACGTTTAGTTACCTCTGGCCTAAAAGCAAGCAGCTGAGGAAAAGAATTCATAAACAAAAGCTACAAGATTAGGGGTAGGGGGTTGTCCAAAACACCTAAGAAGCAAATTTTTAAAAGTCAGTGCAATTCATGAGTACTTACTGTGCACCCACTGTGTACCTCGTCCTGCTATGCTGTGAGCCACACAAAGGAAGGGATGTGGAGCCCAAGTGGCCACTGGAAAACCTGGTAAAACAAAGACTAGCCCTGGGCAGGATCACAGCAGAACAATATACTTGAAAAATCATGACGCTGCATTTGAGACCTGCCTTATAAAGCTGGGAACCTTCTGCCTTAGAGGGGAAGTCAGCTGGGCAGATAGCAATGGCTTATTTCTCCTTCTTGTCTACAGGCAGCTTTTCTTAATTGTGGTAAAATACATACAACCAAGGTTACCATCTTATCCACTTTTAAGTGTACAGATTAGTGGTCTTAACTGTATTCACACTGTTGTGCAGCCATCACTGTCATCGATCCAGAACTCTTCATCCCAGACTGAAATTCTGCACTCAGTAAACAGCCCCTCCCCCGGCCCCCAGCCACCCCCATTTTGCTTTCCCTCTCTATGAATGGACTATTCTAGGTCCCTCGTGTAAGTAGGATTATACAGTATTTGTCTTTCTGTGACAGGCTTATTTCACTTAGCGTGGTGTCTTCATCTGTGATGTGGCATTTGTCACAGTTTCTTCCTTTTTAAGGCTAACACTCCATTGTGCCACATTTTATATATCCATTCTCTGTTGATGGACACTGGGGTGCATCTGCCTTTTGATTGTTGTGAATAATGCTGCTGTGCATGTGAACGTCCAAGACCCTTTGCAGACTGCTTTTACCCAGCCTATATCCCTTTTGTATTCAGTGGTCCCAGAAAGATCTAGCAGACACTATCTGAAAGCCATAGAATTTGAGCTGGAATAAATCTCAAAGGACAGCTAATCCAACCCTATTTCTGGTGCGTGCCAATGTCAGGACTAGAACCCAGGTTTGGTGGCACCCAGGACAGGCCAGCATGCCCCGACTGGCTTCAGTGGTGTTTACAAGGCAGCAGGCAGGCGCCTGGTTGTACATTCCACTTTTCGGAGTCAGCTGTCTTTATGCTTCCTACTCTTCTTTGTAAGCCTGTTTCCTACGAAGCTCTGCTCTCTTGCTGTCTCCGTAGCATTCCTTTTGCTGAAGAACCTCGTATGTTTTCACTCCAGAGCATTCTGCACAGTGCATGTTTAGTGAATGAAGTCTAGGCAGGAGTTCTTCAAATAACTTTTTAATCAAATTAACACATGTACATAGCTTAGGTAGTTTTTATTAGGTTGATTTTTTTATAATGCAATCTAATTTTCCCTCTCCAGGGGCAAACCTTTTCAACTCTTAGCTGTTTTTTCTGCTGTTTACTTCAGTGTAGAAATAACATACTTGTTAATTTGTTGTCTTCATCTGCCACAGTTCTCAAACGTTAGCATTGGTAAACTAGTTAAAACAAACTACCCCTAGAGCTTCCGAATCAGTGAATCTGGGCTGGGACCCAACAATTTGCATTTTTAGCAAGTTCCCAGGCACTCTGGTTTGGGGGCCACACTTTGAGAACCACTGCTCTCTACCCCACATCCTCTCTCTGAAGCTGTGTCAACTTGGTTCAACAGCATCATGTTTACATTATTACTTTTGTTATTTCGTGTTACATCACTACTCACAGCATTGCCTCTTGGCTGCTACTGTTTATATGTTTTGGGGGGGAGGGTGTTTTTTTATTACAGTTCAACTGCATTTACACATTATATTGCATGTAAATACACATATACAGTACACTGCACTTTTTTAGTTTACATATATGTACTAATTATTGTTTCTAATAACAGATTAGATCTTTAG